GTGATCTCTTCAGGCTCCAATAAAATCCTACCATGCTAAGTCACTTTCTTTAAAGTGACAGCAGTAGGAGTGCACAGCAACGATTACACATCAGCTCAAAGCAGACCACAGAGCAGAGTTTTGTAGTGTAACATATCTTCTAAAGTAAATATCTAATATTAGCATGGCTGTCACATCACAGGCTACTGCACATTGTACTTCAGCAGCACACCCTGTATTTCAGTCTGGCTCGGATTGGTACCTGCGTGATGGTGGGTGCTGATGTTAATCTAGAAAATTAATCTAGGACGTGAAGTTTAATATATGTTGATTGTCAAGTTTGCAGTTGCTTTAGAACATGGAGCAATTTGATGTTTCCCATGATGGTACCAGCAAAGGAAAATGTTAACTGAGGCAGATGACCCTGTTTCCTCAGCTTTTGTGGAGTTCTCATCATCTCTGTAACATACAGATAACATCTCATGTCAAGATTACTGTCCTGTTAGAGCTCTTAAAATGATGGCAATGTTTTGAGGCCATTCTGCCATTTTGAGCCATTGTCAGTCACAGTCTCTCTGTCAGGATATATTCAAGCAGCCAACTGCTAAAACTTTTTTAAAATCTGCATCAGCGGTATGAAGGTTTGTTTGATGCCTTGCAGTTTTTATTTTATGCAAAGCAAGTCTTTCATACTCAAGTCTCTTATTATTCTGAAACCATTGTGCGCCAGATTGTTATAGAGATTCATATGATCAAATTACAGTGTTTTCTGTGTGTCTTTTTCACACAATATAAGTATATGTAAACTAGAACTGAGAGAGTTCAGATTATTCAAACAATACTGAACAAAACTTGTAGGCACCAATGTCAGCTGGCACGTCACATATCCAGATGCTCTCTGTGATCTGAAATGCTTATGATTCACCTTTCATCTCAATCCTTTCTGTAGATATTTTGTATATTTTCTTACTGGTGTTTTATGATATAAATAGGAGCATCTGTAACCTAGTATAAGGTTTTGAAAATCTGAAAGATCTCTGTGATTAAATTTTTTTCCTTATGGTAAACTGTAAGGCATCATTGAATCTGAAATCAAGGGAGAGATTCCACAGAGGATTTGGGGGCAGGCCCAGCAAAACTGTTTTAAACACTACAGACCTGCAACTCCTGCTGACTTCAAATAAAATCGAAGATATTACATTATTTCACGGGACGAGCTCTAGAGTAAGGAAAAGGCTTTAGCATCTTGCTGCAAATATTTTCTTTACTCCTTTTCAGAAAAGGGAAGAAGTGTATTTTCCTTAATGACTTGAATTAATTTATTTCAAAATAAAAAAAGGCTTTCTTGCTTTGAGAGGAATGCTCTAAGAGAGACTCATTTTTAATGACTACTTACGTGTATTTGGATGGTCCTCGGATATGTAAATTTAGAACATTTGGAATTTAGAAATGTTGAGCTTCTTATGAAAACGTGGTGCTAAAAGCCCCTTTGGCTTTTGTGGAGACGGATTAAGTTAATAAAGAATATTTATGCAGGTACTGACTTGATTTAATATGCCAGCTGTGTGTGGCTTCAGCTCCTTGCTGTCATTCTCTAACGAAGGATAAGCAGACAGATGCTTTTCAGCTGGCTCTCAAACAGAAAAGAGGTCTTGGATGCTACTCTTCAAAAGATTTCAGATGGCAATAAAAAGAATTGAGTGTAGTGACTTCATTCATTCTGATGGCAGCTGTCCCACTGTTTCATCAATTTGAGGGATGTAAATTAACATTTTGAGATTATTCTCTGTGGAACAATCTAATAGGAACCAAGCAGATGCATGTAAACACTGAACTGATTTGAAATGTGAATATCCCAAATAATGTGGTGATTTGTCAAACTAAAAGGATTACAGATAGCTGTCCAAAAAGGATACTGGAGGCTAGAAACACTAGAAATAAGGGCATTAGTCTTCTTTACCCTGCATGACAAGGGTAATAAACCCATGTGGATAAAGTCAGGTAGGGAGGTTAAATTAACTTTCTTTATTGGCCATTTTCATTTCAAAAGCATATAAAACTGAATAAGTATTAGATTGCTGCTATTGAATTGAATGAGGTTCTGGTTTCATTTCATTTTCATGTCAACTGTGCTTTATTTATTTTCCTTTCTTCATTATTTATGTACATTCACAAAACTATATTTACAATTATTTATGGGTTTTGATTTAGAGTGACTACGGTGAGATCCATCTCATACTGTGTTGTGCATTCTCAGAGCTCTTGGCAAATGCAGTGTAATTTTTCTGGCCTGAGGCATGTTGTCAGAGGTATATGTAAAGTGCACTAAAACAAGAGAAGATAGTGTATATTACATAATTAAAGGGCCACATTTTAGACACCCCTATTTCTGTATTTGTTTGAGCATCTCTAAAATCAAGGGCTGTAATTGTGAGCTGATTCATAACAAGCTGGGAGATCCTAATTATCTAACATTTTTAACTGCAGCTTCCTATCTGAATTCACTAATGATTAGACTTTCCTCTGTGCATTACAGTCTCCATTAGCAGATCTTGTGCATGTCCTTACTTGCACACAGGAGCTGACATGAGCAGGTAACCTCAGGAAGGGGGAGAGAACAGTCAGGAAAAGAGAGTGTGGTGTATGAATTCACCAGAGTTCTACTGTGTTAGGTAGGACTTAAGGTTTCTTTAGTAATTACGAAAAAAAAGAAGGGGGTGCATTAGGAGGAACAAGAGAAGAAAGTTTACTGTGCTATGGTTTTTTTCATGACTTAGCTCCTTGCATTTTGAGGAGGGGCTCAAGCTTCCATTTGTGAGGGGTATGTAAGGGGTGAGAGAGTGACTTCTGATGTGGGCAGATAGTGATAGGACAAGGATGAACACTTTTAAACTGAAGAGGAGAGATTTAGGTTAGGTGTCAGGAATAAATCCTTTACTCAGAGAGTAGTGAGGCACTGGAACAGGTTGCCTGGAGAAGTTGTGGATGCCCCATCCCTGGGAGTGTTCAAGGCCAGGCTGGATGGGTTGGAAGATGCCCGTGGTAGAGGGGTTGGAACTAGATGATATTTAAGTTCCCTTCCAATCCAAACCATTCTATGATTAGATGACTCTTTGATTCTATGATACCTGTATTTTACAACAACATAAATTGGTATTCTGAGAGTAGTTGCAAATTCTATTGTGTCAAGAGAAGCATCACCTAATTGTGTAGGTTGTTGAGCTTGAACTTTCCAGAAGCAGTTTAAACTGTCAAATAAAATGTTCAGATATGCTTGGTAAAAGAAACAGAACGTGAAAAGGACTTTATGCTGTTCCTGTGTTTTTATCCCTGTAATCTGAATCCTGTGCAACAAAGCCAGAGTCAGTATCAGCAGGTATGATTGTGCTATTGCATTAAGGTTGATGACAATGACCAGGTTCCCTTTAGATGTTAAATCTTCCACCAGATAATATCCACATATATTTCATCAATATATTACAGCCATACTGACTTAGGGACCTCTGAATAATTTAAAACCTGAACGTATTCATTATTGTTCAAGAGAAAGCTTTCTATAGCCTGATGAATTGAGTGAGAGTTCAAAGCGATATGAAGTCCTGAGGGGTTTGTGTGTCTCTGAAATCTTCTTCAACTGACAGATATTTTAAATACAAAATAAAAAAATTAAAAGCAAAGTCACTGTATAACAAAAGGAATGGGTACTCTGGGCAAAAATTGAGTGAACAGAGAGCATCAGGAAAATCAAACATATAGGGCTGCTTTTTCTCCTTGCTGGTCTCTAAGGGATCAAACTGATCCTTGGAATCTCTGCTGTAGTTCTTCCCTTCTGTTCCCACTCCCCTCTTAAACAACATTAATCTTAATTATATTTTCTTGAACTTGATTGTTCTACTGCTACTGTTTACTTTCGAGTCACCATCTAACTAAAAAAAAATTGACCCTTTCTAATTTGCATAATTTAGATTCCACACTTTGTAGAATCTACCATGTTTGACCTGTTCTTTTTAAGGTCACTTACAAGTTCAGTGCTGCAGGACCACACTGAGATCCAGTGAACTGAATTATAGAATCCCAGAATGGTTTGGGATGGAAGGGACCTTAAAGATCGTCTCATTCCAACCTTTGCAGGGGCACCTTCCACTAACAAATGCCTTCGTATACTGAAAAATTGCTGTTCTATTCTCTCCTCAAAAGTAGATTATTTTACCACTAACACTTGAGAGAATGCATTTCCTCCACAAGACTTACAGTTTTGTGATATTTTTATACTCCCCTGGAATACTTTCCATGGGAATTTTACATGGATCTGGTAGAGAATTAAGATTTGTTCTTGAATTCTGATGCTTACTGTATTTCAATACTTGACAGGCAGCTGTATGAACTCTCTAAAATCCCAGACTGAATGGTGTTGCTTTTTTTCATTTTGACAAGAAGCAAAATGTTCAGTAAAATTTCTGTTATTTTCAATTGCTTCTGTCACTCTCCTTTCGATAATGTATGTATTGCTGTCTCACAAACAGTAGGCCTTAGGAATCTATTTCAGTAATATTTACATTTCACATTTTTCCAATGAAAGTTTGTTAAGGTTTACAGTGAAATTTTAATACTTCTATGAGACCTGATTAACTAGGGAAAAAAAGAAATGGGTACAGTTTTTTTGTGTGGTTTTGTATGGATTCTCATCTCAGTGCTACTAGAGTTGTTTGACTTCAGATTTATTTAAATAGGAGCAGTTTTGAATGAACGACTGCTGAGAGATTAAAGCTCTCTGCAAAGACTGACGTTCCTGGAACTTCACATCTCTCTGTGCATTTAACTTAGATACTGTGTTACTGCTTTCATTATTCTGCCTTGCTATACACTCATTAATCAAAAATGAACACATTTTCTGTAAAACCGACATTTTCTTTCAAAACTAGGTGATCGCTAATTCGTGTGCTGTATTTCCATTAATCATCACAATACCTGGTACTTACTGGAAAGGTGAAATTTCTGTAACCTCTCAAACTTCTCCTTAGGTAAAAGAAGAGGAGCAATCAGCCAATCACACCTTGATGATTCAAGAGACACTGCAGCAGGCGTCAGTGGAGCTGTCTGAGCAGCATCACCTGGTGGTCTCATCAGATGAAGTGGAGGGGATTGAGACAGTGACTGTCTATACACAGGGTGGAGAGGCTTCTGAATTCATTGTTTATGTTCAGGAGGCTGTGCAGCCTGTGGAGGAACAAACTGTGGAACAATCAGTGCAGGAGCTCTAGAGAATAGCGATCAAAGGAGATGGCTACTTGATTTGTAAAAAAGTTTGGGTTTTTTTTTCCCAAACAAAAGCAATCAAGCTGATGGATTTTAATCTGTGAAGTGATCTAACTAGTTGGATTGTATGAGTAACTTAGACATCATGTGCAAAAAACCTCCTCAGACTTTTTTCTTTTCTAAAAAATGGTCATATTTTGAGGAAAAAGTATTCTTCCCTTTCTCAGAAGATCTTTCACTTGATTCCTGTAAATCCTCACAAATATCCTCTATTCAAAACTGTGGTATCCCATGATAATAAAAATCCATAAAGGTAGCTAGAATGTATAGAAAAGCCCATACATCCCATTTTGTACACCCTTAATATGTGCTTGACTTGACTGGAAGCAAAATTGTTTTTTCTTTAAATTAAAAGGGCCTCTTATTTCTGAGTACATGCTTAGGAAGTGTCTGCGAAGTTGTGGTTCTAACCCAAACAAAAGTTCAAGACTTTAATTAGAAACGTACCACAGATGGACTGTAGTTGGTGCTTGTGAGGTGATCCTTTGAGTTTGAGAGGTATTTAAAGCCATATGTGAAAATTCTGGGTGCCAGTAGGATGACTGTTATTTAGATATTTGAATGATGGTAACTCTTTCCATCCCACTGAGTAAGTACCTGTCCTGTAGCATAAATTGAAACCAAATCTGTCAAATTAAGGAAATATTCTGTTATTTTTAAGAAAAAAAATATATTCAAAAGATTTGTAAATGCTATAAGAGATGTATGTTCATATGTTTTAAACAGACGTGCTTGTAAATATGATTGTGTGAAAAAAAATTGTACAAAAAACTTAAGTAAATATTGACAAGAATCTAGATATTCTTAATTATGCATGTATATAGTTCCAGGTTTTTCTTCATGAATCTTGAATTGTTTCTGGCTTAATATTTTTAAATTTGAGCTATAAAAGTTATTAATAACAAAATTGTCATGTTTTCTTCTAGTGCTCTAATTTATTAAGTGCTGGTTTCCTTTTCACAGCTAAGTAAAAACATGCTGGTTTACGCTGACTGTGACAAATTATTCCTGTAGTTAGTAGTGTTTAATCAAGAAAGTGGCACCACGAAGTTCAGGCAGACTTTTCTATGTGATTGAACTTATTTCTGGATGTTCTGGGTAGAAAAGTGGAGAAAAGCTTTTTACTAAGTGGATATAATGCAGTGAGTTGGTTGTCTGCCTCTTCTGGCTCTGCTGGGTTCTCTCAATGCTGAACAAAATCAGTGGTTGCTTCTCACTTAACCGTGGTGATAGGGAATTTAAATTTGTTCATGGAAAAGAACTGAGAGTTGTTTGGCTGTGATGGCAACTGTGTGTCCTCAGGTTTAGTCTTGAAAGTGCACTAGAAGCCCCAGGGATATTAAGGTTGTAGGATGGAGACCTCACTGCCATTTTGTGTCGCTGACTGGAGCTGGTAAAAGTATCAGGATTAATTCCTTGTGTGTTCAGTATACTTGACATTTGTAACATCATAGAAACTGATGCACAAAATGCATCAACTTGATTAATCTGCATAAGAAACCTTGGTTTTGTTATTAGTGGTTGAAATTCACTGTTGATTTGCAAGAATAATGCTTTCTGTTATCTAGAAGAGAAGAAAGAGATATCAAACACTTAGAATTTATTGAATTATTCACAACCCACTTGCTGTTAAAACCACATTTGGAAGAGCATCCTGATCATATGTGGTAATAGTGATGATCTTAACATAAAACCTCTCTGAATCAGTTCAGCAATATATTGTGTTATTGCCTGACTGGGGGAGGGACAGAAAAGTATTTTACTATGCATCACTCCAGAATTCTTAAGTAGATTATTTCAAATAGACCGAGCAATTCTGTCTATGAGAGGTGTGTCTGTTTGGAGGAAGGGGTTTGTTTTAATTCCAATGTTTCATGGCCATACATACCTATGTAATTTAAGGCTTTATTTATGGTTAATGAGTTATATCACATTTTCCTGTGCTAAAGCGTGAACACTTGTGTGAATTTTCTACATGCTTTTAATTTTATTATTTTAAAAGTAGTTTTCAACTGAGGTCTTTTCTGAAGTTCCTTTTTTTTTACCCAGCTCTGCTTGGAAATGCAATGGTTGGAAACAGATGAGGTGTAAGTCAGGAAGCCGTGTTAAGTAATGCACATTGATTTCTTGCCTACTTAATTAATACATTTTCTTCCTTCAAGAATATTACGTCTGTAGTGCTGTTGAGGAGATAAGAGCTTCCTCTGTAATATAAACCATTGTACTTTAGAAAATGAATGTCCAAAGATTGGTGTTTTTTTCAGAAGCGTAAAGAAAACAGAGAGCTTTGTTTATCGTAGGCATTTGTTTTGAGAGGCCTTGACTGTTCAGGTTGTCTTTTGTCTGGATTTGGAATCACCATAAAGGTAAGAGTTAAATGATTTGCTTGGCAGGCTCTGCTTCTGTTATGATCTAACAGCACAAATTGTTTTCACTGTAGATGCAACTCCTTTTATCCATTTAATCTTTTCTGAGGGTTAAGTGACCTTTTCAGATCAGGACAGACAAGCAGTAACAGTTTTAAGTTAGTCAAGTAGCTCCTTTTTCTGAAGATTATACATTCTTCCCACACACTAGGAATATTCATTAGCATTTACTACACTATGATCTTCTGTTTTTTCCGTTCTGTGACACCTGAGGAGTATCCTGCCTTTAGGCTAATGCTTGGCAAATGTTACTCTTTAAAAGCTTGTGCATGCATAAACTAAGTAACTGATGGTCTGCACAGCTAAGAACACATCAAATGTTCTGGGTAGCGTGTGGAGCACAGAAGGGCTTTTGGAATCGGGCAAAGACTTAGAAAAACGGGAAAAGGAAACTGCAAATAATTTTAGTGGCAGCAGATTCCTAGGTAATGGAAGCTAAGGTTGTGTTGCTTGAAGCTGACTCTTTCAAAAGATCTCAAAGAAATTAGGAACACTAGTTGTGGAAGGACCTCATGTTGCAGAATGGTGGAGGCATCTGTACACAAAGGGGAGAACTCAGACCTCACAGGGCACAAGGCACGGGAGAGGGAAATGGAGGTTTCAGAATTTTTTGCGTACCTGATTTATTATATCCACAGAGAATAATTTCTGTTTCCTGAGTAGAGAAGAAAAGAGGACCTGCCTTTCTTTCTGATGTAGTTTGGTTTCTGGGCTGGTTGTGGTTCCTCTTGATCCCAGCACCATTTCTCAATAGTAGTGATTTTAACCAGCCATTGTATCATCTTAACTTATGTTAAGCACTAACAGGTTTTGTACTGGATCTGTATTTATCTGCAAAATCCATGGGATGAAGAATAGAAAGGAACTGCATGCTTTGCTGTTTTACCTCAAATTTTAGGTTGCATGGAATTGCAGCTAGAGACAAGAGTACTACAGAGATGATAATGTTAGAACAATTATTCCTACTATACTAAGGAATTACACTCCTTGAATGTATATGCTTGAAATTAATGCTTTTAATGGCATGTTTTCCAACAAGATTACAGAAGTAACACTGCTGCAAGTCTGAGATTTTTAAAACATTTTAATATTTTAATTCTTCTGAAGTTATACAGTTCTTAGTCCGCACTGCCATATGGAATATGGCACTTCATCCATTTGATCTTAATAAAGGAAAAGAAAAATGGTTTCACATTCCAGTAAATTTTCTAACAATGTGGACATGTGTTTTACAAATTTAAAAAGATCAAACCAAACTCAAAACATAAAAAAAACCCCTCCTGCATCTCAAGAATGAGCAGTACAGTTAGCACAGTAGAGAAGGGAAGCAAGTAGCAGAAATCATGTTGTGAAATATTGAGATGTTCAGGTAAATGTTTTAGGATCCAAGTGGGCAGAAGATTTGGCATGTGAAGGAACCTTTTGGAGCTGTGTTCAGCTTGCATGATCAGAACTTGATTTTTGGCTTGAACTCTTCATGCCTGCCTGTGAAGGAGGCTGATCATGAGCTGCTTCAGATTGCAGAAGCTTCAGTGAAGTCAATGAAGGTGTGAAAATTGACCCAATGAGGAAGTATTAATTTCCTGAAAATCAAACTCTTGGGATAAAAGTGTACTGACTATTTGAGACTGACCACTTAGGGAGAACTTTTTTCCAAAGTCACACGTAATCTTTTACAGAGGAGAATTACCAACCATTCTTAAGAGACTGCAGGACTGTATTTTCTTGTCTTGGTTACATGTAGAGTTGGATTTCTGTAAGAGCAGTAAGGTTCAACTGAGGACTCTGCTACTAGTACTGAATTGAAAATACTGTATTTTTTTATTTTTTCCATTCTTTTGACTTGAAAATAATATTGACAGTTATCAGAGCTCACGTAGTAGAGCTGAATGAAACAGATGGTGTACACAAATACATAGTTTATGGATTATTATAGTTAGTTTTGTGGTAGGGATTTTTTTTACACCAGATTACAATTTTTGCTTTTTGTAGGTATGTTTGAGCTGCATCTGAAAGTTTGAACAGGGAATGACACGAGCTCATTTGCAGATAGCATCATTAGCAAAAATTTTGTTTGTTTTGGTAATGCTGGTACTGCAGTCTTTGCTCATAAGGCACTAAACTGCAGATGTTCTTTTCCCTTTTGTAATGCAGTGACAGTGAGGTTACTGAGTGGTACTGCACGTGGCTTGACAGCTTCTCAATTTGCATTCCAGTTTCCCATCATTATCAGACATAATTTCCATCAATAGTAGCACTAGTCCATTTGTCTTTTTTTCTTCCTTGAAATGAGGGCAACTTTTAGTCTGGGAGGACTTTCATGTTGAATCAGTCACAGAGAATTATTTTGGCACATCCTGAGAGTATCAAACTTGCTATTATGACATAAATATGCAGTATCATATTCATCTCTGCTGTAATTCCACAGGGTACAGGTGATTGATTAAGGTGATCACTCATGTGTTCCTGTTCTCAACTTGCCCGTTTTGGGTTTTAAGTGATCAAAAGCAATGCCACACATTTCAAAGGACAGTGCAATTTACAGAGCCCTCACGTGTTCCTAACAAAATAATCTGTGCAAGTCCATTATGTTGTCCCTGTCAACCTTCAAGAAGGTTGATGCAGAAAAAGGAAACCATCATGTGTTTCTGTCTTGATAAATACTAATGGACAAAAATGCTCTGTTTGTGAACTAATTCCTTGGATTTGAACAATCAGAATTGAGTTCTGCTTTGTCCAGGACTGGAAACTCCTGTACAAAGCACATCCCAGTGCAAACTCACTGTCCCAGAATGACTTTTTCTTTCTCAGGAAAGACTGCTGGAGCCCAGTCTGATCACCTTTCTTCAGATTAACCAGCAAAATCTTTCAGAGTACAGAACGCATTGATGCTTATGTGAATGACTTGCCACATTGATAAAAAAGGTATTAGCTGTGGTCACAGACTCAACCCTCAGTTACAGTGGAGCTGAAGTTCAACATAAGAAAGAGATTACTGCAGCTGTAACAGCACCTGGCCAGCAAGTGACTCCAGCTAGTGAGGATATTCTTGCTGTGATAGTGCTGTGGGCAGGAGGGTACTGCAGATGAAGAGTTCAAGAGTTACTTGCTTTTTTCAGTGCAGCTACCTATTTTCCTCTCTCTGCTCTCTGAAGTTTAAGGTGACTATATAAACATTAAATTAATTTTGAAGCCCTTTTTATGGAAGAAAGAGATGGCAATAGTTGTCCTAGTTTCAAAAAACAACATTCTCCTATGTGCATACCAAATCTGGATACTGTCTGGGCACAACCCAGTGCAATGTGCTCTAGGTGTGCTCTAGGTGTGCTCCCTGCTGGAGCAGGGAGGTTGGACCAGGTGACCCACTGTGGTCCTTTCCAACCTTGCCCATTCTGGGATTCTGTGAAAGTGTCTTGTGTACCCTTTATTTAAGGATGTCACCAGAGGAGAATGAGCAGAGCTTAGTGTGATACAAAACCATGGAACGATGAGATTGTCATAAAGGAAAAAAAAATATTAGGCCAAAAAACAGGATTAATATCCTGTTGGGTAGAACTATTAGGCCAAATAACATGATTAACATCCTGCTAGGGAGAACTACTAGCTTGGAAAGTAGTGCCTAGTGGCAGGAGCTCCTCTTCTTGAATTACTCTATTAATAATTACACTGAGTTAAACATAGCCAGACATTGAGAATGAGCATGGTGAGAAAAACAGGGCAGCTGACCTCCAACGTTTCTCTTACACCTCAGATTTCTGAGCATTTAATGACAGCAAAGGAGACCAAAATGACAAAAGACCTTTATTATATTCAGAGCCACACCTGACAAGGATGTTTGTCAGAGCTCACTCTGAAGGAATTGATGGGATAGGCATTTGTGGGATGTTAAGTAAGAGCAAAATTGTCACTTACATTTTCTTATTCTTGTGTCACTTATTCTTCATGAAAAGTTCAGTGCAAGGCTTGAAGTGAGTAGTGGCTGCCAGTAAAACAGAAAAACAAACATTTCTGACAGTGCAAAAAATGACCTTTTTATTCATTATTAAAATATTTTTTTACAGGCTTGTTTGCTAAAAGTGGAAGAAGAGAGGAATTAAAGTGAATATGTTACACAATGCTCTTCCTGATTTCTGAAATGTTGCAAATGTTTCTGGAAAGCAGAAATAACTATCAGCCTAGGTAAATTAAAAGGTATCCAAAGGTCTTTGCTGTTTTGGAATGAAAGCAAACAATGGGAATTTATAGAGCAGGCCTTGTTACAGGTTCTTCTTCAGTTCAAGGAATGTTATCTTCTGGAAAATTAGATCATTTTGTGTTGGGCACCCAAATGAAATACACTGTAAATGTATTTTACAGGAGCACAAAGATAAATGAGAATGAGACCATAGGAGCTACCTCATGGGCAATATTGTTTATGGGCTAGCAGTTAAATAAAGGACAAAATATCACAGTGGATTACAGAACCAGTCAATGTTTTTACACTTTGTTTGGAAATGGTTCCCCTTTTGGATTAGCCTTGATAGCATTTATTTTGCTACTACCATTAGGAGTGAAAATAATTGCTGGGAGCTGAAAGCTAGATGGGCCTTGGGTATTAAAAGTAGAGTATGGACTCTTTTAGTGCTAGATAGCTTGTTCAAATCCATATTAAAATAGTAGTAATCAAGTATTCCTTTCATTTAATGGTAAGTGAATGAGTTAAAGAGTTCATATCCAATATAGGACAGAGAGGGTCCTAACCAA